TGATGATAAAGACATTTATATTTAGCAAGGAGATTTCTATTTCAGATAAATGCTGTTCTTCTGAATTTTCTATTCATCAAATAAACCTGAAAAAATTATACTCAGCTGTTTTCAACATAATAATAATAATAATAATAATAATAATAATAATAAATGTTTTTTTTTTAGCAGTAAATCAGTATATTAGAATGATTTCTGAAGGATCATGTGACTGGTGTAATGATGCTAAAAATTCAGCTTTGAAATCACAAGAATAAATTGCATTTTAGAATATATTCAAATAGAAAACAGTATTTTAGATAGTACAAATATTTACATTTTTTTACTGTTTTTGCTGTACTTTGGATCAAATAAATGCAGGCTTGGTGAGCAGAAGAGACTTCTTTAAAAACATTAAACATCTTACTGTTCAAAAACTTTTGACTGGTAGTGTATATACATTATTCTATTTCATAATCCCACCAATCATCTAAGAGCTTGCCAGACTGACAAAGTGCTTACGGTGTTGTTTGTAAAAATGAAAGTGAAAAACGGTCATGTGAATCTAAACTGTTTTTGGTGCAATAAACCTTGACTAACACCTACACACCTGACCATCAGGCTGTCAACGTTGACAGAATCCCTCGCCAGCCAGCTGCTGGGCCGTGAGTGGATGCTGATGTTTCATTTAATAGCAGGCAGAGATGAGATAAGCCTCCTCTGCCCAAACAGCTGACAGGAGTCTCTCTACCCCGCTGCATTCCATTACGGCCCATCCCGCGTACGTGGCCCATCTTTCCTAATGATCTGGGATTAGTTAAATGATATGCACACCGAAGGATTCATTTATCATTTTGAGATGCAAACAAAGGCGATATATTAATCTAAGCACATCGTGACGTATAATTACCTATTCAAAAGGGTCTCAGAGATCAATAAAGCTTTTAGCCCTGCAAGGCCTTTGTATCCTTTGCAAAGTGAGAAAGCCTTCCTGAGATTATAAAGCAATTGTTTCCAGGTAGGATGAATTGCTGTGAGCTCAGACTGGAGGAGTCACAATTGATTAATCCATTAGGAAAGCATAATTTAGCCCCTTGCTTTACAGCCCGTTTAGTGGTATTTATCTATTTATCAGAGAGCACGACTGCACACTTTTCCACATTGGCCACACTAGAGGAATCCCAGCAAAAAGTCCAGCAAATAATCCGTGAATTATTATCGGAATTTCCTGTGGAGTGTTTTCATTTGAAAATGCCACTGTGTTCCAGCATCCATTAGATAAATCGCTTCCAATTTCTCCCTGAGAGATTGGCAATAAATGAGAGCAGACATAGAGACATGCCTCAGCTGCAATCTCCAATATAATACAACACACGCAGCACCTCACAGAGTCTCGCTGCTAAAGATGAAGCAAGGAAAACAAATGAAAAAAAAAA